GATAGGAGTGTGGCTTCGCCATTCGACAGGCATCACCAAACTCAACCAGGGACTTGAGAATTTACTCAAGTCCACTACCACCGATTTTACATGCGAGGATTACCTCACAACATTACGATAGTTGGTATAGAGTTTGGGTGCCCATACCCCTGGCTACTTTCCAACTCTTGTAGAATTAAAGCAAAATTCGAGGATGTTTGTCATTGATATGACCGAAATTTAGAACAATAAAATCAGAAGGGCGGACAATGCCTTTTCCGACATAAGGCTTATAAATTTTTGTACGAGACTGAGTAATTATGGACCCATCTTTAATAGATGGTCTAAGAAAATTAGGGTATGAAATTAAAAGGGGAATATTATCACAATTAATAAAATCAAAAACTTGCTTCTTGAAGTTTTCATAGCACAATCCTTGGTTGTTGATCACATCCCAGTTCAGCGTCATCCCACGGACTTTGAGAACGTAGTCATATTCTTCGTTGGGTGTAGTCTTCTTTTGAAGTTTCAAACCATATTGTTTGGCGCCTCCAGAGCAATATTCAAGAATGTTGAAATCGGGGAACTCATCTGTGAATTGCCCCAGATGAGGCCCAAGTTGAAGAGGACAATTGTTGTCTGGGTGTGAGAAGATTAAGGAATCTGTGTCGGTGTAGAGTAATTGACACCCTGGTGTCCTCACAACCTTCTGCATAGCATGCAGAAGGTGGATCCTCGCTGCTGAGGTAGTCCAAAGCGAAATGATGACATTTGAGGAGTCATGCTCCTCCACCCAATCCTTCTTTTTGATGTAGTTTATAAGTATTACTTCTTCGGTAAGTTCATCTATTGAATTGATGGTGATGGAAGGGTCGTCGCACATCTTAGCCAATTCATTTGGGTCGTCGGTAATTTTGCATTGCGAGAGGCCAAAGTTGCGTAGGGAGAATCTTCCCCATAAGTTGTTTAGACACAATTTTGCTTGTGTCCGTTTCCCTTTGTTGGCCACCATTTTATCTCTCTGAATCTTAATCCCAAACATTTCCAAGCATTCTTTCATAAATTTATCTTCCTTTTCTATGTCCCCTTTGATGGAGTTGTCGAAGCCAGACGAGTGAATTTTTTGAGACATAAATTCACTAATGTAGGGGCTGAAGAGCTTGTCGTCGTAGTTTTTGAATTCCAAAACTCTGAAAAGTTTGGTGACAACATAACCCTCTTTGAGGGCTTCGTTTAATTCTATGGAGGTGCATGTACTCACCCATCCTCTCTGTTGATCTGAATGGGGGCAACAGTAATTTTCCTTGACATCCCCATGTGGATGTTCTTTGGCACAAGTAGAGCACATGGGAAAAAGCAAGCGTTCATCTTCATCTTCCCCAATCTTCATAGGTAAGACTGGAATATCAATAGTTCGAGGAGGGATGATGAATATTTTTAGAAGTGCAAGGGTGTAGATGTTGTCTTCTGGTTTTGTCCAATTGACATCTTTGTTGATCACGTGCACTTCAGGATGTCCTACAGGGTACCGCGTTGAAACGTTGATAAATGGGTATAGGGAAGTCACGTCATAGTAGGAAATTTTTTCGCCTGGTTTGGCACAATGGAAAAGTTTGAGCGGACCAGTTCTCCCTCCATAAAATGCTGATCTGATGTTGATAGGCCCATCATCTAAATAATTCTTAAACATTCTTCTCATCTCAAAATCTTTGGAGACCATGTTCCTTATTTGACACTCCCAATATACCTCAACATCCGCTCCCAAATTTTTTATAAAGTTCAAACGTTGTTTGTCTTTTTGCCTCTGCTGCCCTGCTGTGAGACCTGTAGGAAGTTTTATGTCGTCATTCGGATAACATTTGATGCATCCGTGCCAGCAGCACCCATTGACTTCAATAGCCAATTTCTTTTCTTTAATCCATCCATCCAATTTATAATTGCCAATTTTCTTCTCCCCATTCTTTGAGTGTGCTGTCCTAATAGTAATGTTGTTCTTATCGGCATACCATTTAAGGAAACGGAGTGCCAACAAGCTTTGGTTGTCCACATTATCGTATCCTTTTTCAGGTACAATCCCAACATGTTGAGCTTTCAGATGATTCAGGCGGAAGTGCTTCATGCAGGCAGAAGCAATAGTCATGGACTCCCGCAGAACATCCAGTCCATTGGAGACATCCAAAAATTCTTTTCTGAAGGCCCCAAGTGCTGCCATTAAAATATCCACATCATTTGTGCAGTATGATGCAAGTTGTTCATCGAGGAGAAAGGGCTCGTTTTTGTGTTGCTCAAACCATTTATCGAATTGGGCCCTTTTCTCAGGCATCATTCCATTGCAAAGGTAGTCTTCTTTTGCTGGGTAGATCTCTTTCCCATAATTTTTAGGGTTGTTTGCCAAATGCGGGAAAAACGGTTTATCTTCTACTTGAAGTCCAAAAGATGGTACAAGAGCAGCCAACGGCATTGGCATTAAATTATATGTATCATGGAAGATTATCCAACATTTTTTAGCATTTTTCACCTTCATTTCGTACATTTTATTTCCATTCTTTATCATTTCTGGAGTTAGTCCTTGAAGATACAATGCTTTGAAGACCAGGACCATATCAAACCTTCCTCCAAAATGAGAGAAGGCTACTGTATCAATAGAAGAATTGGTTATCCAATCTACAAAATCGGTCAGAGGATCATTGGTAATGTTCTGCTGATCTACTTGAGTGTTGGTGAATGATTGGTAAGAGAATGTAATAGTTTTATTCTCTCCACAAACTTTGCAATTGTTGTTCAATCCTTTATCAATGCAGCCTGGACAATTAATTTTAACTGAGATGAAGTTGACTTCATGTAGTTTTCCTTTTTCTCCTTGTTTGTGTTGAGTGGTTTCGAAGTCAAAGGCAATTATCCGGTAAGGTTTTGGCTTTTTGAGAGTAAGAGGTTTGATGAAGCATCCTCTTTTAGGGTCGTGGAAGCTAAAACAAGTGCTGCAATAACGTTCTGAGCAAACATGACCAGTACGTCCATTCCGGTTGTTCACAGCAACATTCCATATAACTCCACATTTTTTACATTTCTTGGAGTTGTTGCAAAAATTAGAGTTAATGTGATGGTCATAGCAGTTCTCGTTGTGGAATTCCTTATCACAACCAGAACAATGTTTGAAAAAGTTGTCAATTTGTTGACAAGGGTAGTCGGGGCCTATCCTGGAGCAATTGGGGCATTTTGCTGAACATGAAGTCGCATGATCCTTTGGTTTGTTGTAAAGGGTTTCACAGGCAAGGCAATAAGGCTTACCGAATAAATCACTTGCCTTCCTTACTCCATCAAAATGATTATTAAAATGATAAAGAAGAATTGGAGTGTTATAATTTTCAGCCCCATATTTAAAAATTGGTTTAACCCCCAATTCTCCAAAAATAAAAACTTTAAATCCACCTTTATTCAAAGAATTCCAGTAGTCAACTACTTTTGGCACCCAATCATTTGCATCATATGTAGGTTGATCAGAAGGAGCTCCAATTTTATTCATCAGTTCCAGTGCATCCTTCTCGAGTTGATGAAACATACCTCTTCTGCTATGCATGTAGTCATAAAATTTCCATTTTGGCCAAGAAGATGTTGCGAATACAAAAGTAGCAGTTAATGATCTAAATAAGCAATAGTTGTCAGAATTAATAATTTTAATAAGATTGTGTTGTTTAATCTTATTTTGAATTGTTGTCGAAGCTTTGCCACTTCCTTGAATGACACGTGCTGACTGAAGATTCTTCTTGTCCACGCATGTAACGGTAACATTAAATGGCTCTCCCCATAGCATGCCATTATCTTGCTTCTTGGATTGCGCCACTTTAAGGAATTGATTAAGTATGGAGTCTACTGTGTTGTTGTTGATATCTCTAATCGGTATCCAAATGTCAGTTTCCAGTAACTGACTGCTCACTGTGCAACCAAGCTGATCAGGATCAAGTTGATGATCATGGCTCGTTTCTAGGGTCTGATCAATACATCTTTGAAAAATTTCTTTTAAAAGCCCCTCTGGTTCATCGGGCAAACCAGTTATTAAAAATTTAGTAGAGAGTTTGGTAAGGTTAAATTTCCGGGTGATCTTGGTTTCTTCACCCAGATATTTTAAAAAATCACCCCCGCCAAGCTGCAGATCAAGAAGATTGTTGATCATGAAGAGACGTGCTCGCTTTGATGGTGGTGGAGACATTTAAGGTTAGTAAAATAATTTTTTTTAATTTTTAAAGAATGAGGAAAAATCCTAAAAACTCAGATTTATATATATATTTTTTATTTGACCGATTTTTATTAATTCCCACTTTTCCACACCTATTTTTAATAATTTTTTGAAATAATTTTCACATGATGTATTTTTGATCTATTTTCACTTTTCAACGCCTTTTTTATAAAATTTACCCAATTTTCACTTTCAATAATAATTTACAATTTTTCTCGTGCATGACCTATTTTTTGACCTATTTTTGCAACATAATTATTGCATGAGTGATTATTGCATTCACTTTTCACCGCCTACTTTTAAATAATTTTTATATTTTCAAAATTAAGTGTAAAAAATAAAAGAAGATATTTAGAAAATAGAGAAGAGGGTTGGAAAGGTGTTTCTTTAAGAATCTTTAAGAGTACATCTTTTGAACCGGTTCAAAACTACATCTTGAACCTTTGGGAACTCTCTGAAGTTTTTAAAAATTTGGTGTAAAATAGGGAGAAGAAGGTTTTTCTTTAAAAAGTCCACACGAAACCGGTTTGATCAAAGTACAGTTTAAACCTTTGGAAACTTCTTGGACTCTGACGACGGAGTAATTGACTATAATTGACCGTTTAAATAGTGGGAGGGGCTAAATTGTTGGACCCCGCTGCCCCTGACGACTTCTCGGGGTGACTAACTACTTGTGTATAATTAAATTTTCCAATTTCAAATTATATATTTAAATTTTTTTTAATTTCCCAGCTAAATTTCCATAAAATCCAATCAGTTCAAACGCACTCACTTTAATTTTTTAACAAAGAAAATGGGAAGAAAAGAGAAGAAAAGTGAAAGAAGAATAGGAAAAGGAGAAGAAAAAAAAAAGAAAAGGGAGAGGAAAAGGGATGGGCACCGTTCCAAAAGTCAAAAACTTTGAAGCCCTACAACTCTTCGAAATGGGGGTCGAAGGTTTAAAAAACTTATGAAAAATTTTTTACTCAGTTCGAAATGTCCTCTTGTAAGTGTGAATAAGAAAAATTTGATTTAAGACTTTTGTTTTTAATTTCACCAATTTTTTTCTAAAAATTTTTAAAAATATAAAAGACAAACCCTGGATAAACAGTTCCAGCAAAAACATAACTAAACTGTACACGTATTAAATACATAAGTAAAGGAAGAACTGTCAACATTTGAAAGAGTAGAAAAACTCTAGCAATTGCACTAAGCATATCCCCACTTGCAAAATTGTTTAAAAAATTCTTTAAAAATTTTTTTAAATAAAAAACAAAATTTAAACAAACATCAGAAATACAATTGCGATAAGTTGGAAAAGTGGTAAAGAAGAATAGACTGATTATTATATAACAACCAGCTGAAAGAAAATAACCAATTAATAAATCACGAGCCTTAAAAATATTTTAGAAAATTAAAAAAACTTTTTTACATTATTTTCAGGATGTTTTTGATTTCGCAAAATTGTTAAAATAGCGTTATGAATAAAATAAGCTAATGCCAAAGTACCAGTTAATGCAGGAAATTTCCAATTAAAAACTGAAAATAAAAAAATAAAAATTAAAAGGTATTTAGTACATACGTTGTATATAATTCTTTGAAAGATGATTTGTAAAATCCAAATTAAATCCACATTCAGCACTTTTTATCAAAGTAAAACAAATTAAATAAACTACAGAAATTGTTCCAAGACCATTGAAACGCATAAAAAAGCCTGGAGAACGAAAATTCAGTAAAGGGAAGATACAAAATGCCAGTATCAAAGGAACACCACCCTGAAAAATAAAAATTTAAAAATTAGTCTTAAAACTACTAAAAATATGGTTTAAACCGAGGTCAGGAACGGGACGTGTTATCCAAAACCAGACTTTTCAATGAAATCTCACATGAGGGGATTTGCTTGCTTATGGGGGAAAATTTTCGACTGCCAAGGCATTCAACAGAAAAATGTGTTTACTGAAATTAAAAAACCTGTAATCTCCAAATCTTCTGAAAATTGCTCTCATTTTCTCCAAAAGATATTTTCGAAAATATACCACTTGGTGAAAGTGAAAGAAAATCGTTTGGAAATGCATTTTCAATTTGTTTAGGGCAATAAACTTTAAAAAATGCAAAAATATTTTTAATAAAATTTTTATAATAGAAATAACCATCACAAGTTTGATTAAATCCAATTGGCAATATTGAACTGTTCTGTTGAAGTGATTCTTGAAAAAGAAAGATTTTATCACAAAGGGTAAACGCGCTAAATTTGGGTTATTTCGTTGCGTCTTGTCTTTTCGTAATATATACGCTCTTGTGCCCATTTGATAAATCGGTTTTAAATTTTACTGACCTTTACATAAGAACCCTAATTTAACTTTTAACATAATCACGGACTCGACAGTAATTACTTTTATACGAAAAAATTATCATAAATACTAAATAGCCAAGAGAAAACAGTTAAATCCTTCAAAAAATAAACAAAACTAACCATAAATAACATTTCCAGTAAAATAAAGAAAATTAGACATCAAAACAAAGTAAAGAATAACACCGCCAACCAAAACCAAAACAGAAAAGAAAACAGCAAAATATTCCAACCATTTGCCCCATAAAAAACGACAAACATCAGAAAAATCAGGAGTTGAAGTTTCTAATGCTTAAAAGATTTTTTAATTTTTAACATAAATGTAAAATTAACTTAAAGAATTGGGACTTTCAATAATTCTATAAGCAGTGTAAAAAGCAATTCCAGCCATCAGTAACATAAGAAAAATTCCTAATACAAGACCGGCTTGTTGAAGAGCCCAAGGAACAGCTAACAAACTGAAAATGTGTAGAAATTTAAATATTTTTTTTTAGATTTTTAAAATATCCTTCTTTGAGTTAAAAAAACGTTAGATATTTTTAAAGTTATTTTTTAACAATTTTTTTAAACAAAATTAGCTAATTTAACTACCTTGTCCCAACCATTGTATTCCATATCGAAAATATGGTTACCATACTACTTTGTTTTCCATTAGAATCTTTAAATTCGCTGAATGGTAAAACAGAAAAAATAGAAGTTGGAATGACATGAATAGGCATTAACTTAAATTTTACAAATTAGAGAATAATTATTTTAAATATTTGTTTTCGGACTGTTTATAAAGGGTTAAAGGCGAATAGAAAGTTATTTCGAACCAAGGAAGAATTTTTGGAAAAAAAGAACAATTAATTTGTCGGCACTTATCTCTCAAAACTCAATTTAAAATAAAAAATTCTTACAAGATGAAGACCGCCAGGATCTAATCGATTAAAAAAACGATAACGAATAGCCATATTGTGATCTCGATTCATTACATCTCGTCTATTCTCTACTGGTATTGAGGAAGATAAAAGTGAAGCATTTGAATCACTTTGTGGTTGCACAAACAGGTAAGGACGGCGAGGCAAATTAACTAAAACAAGACTTCATAAACATTTTAATGCTTCTAAAGTTATAACCTGAACAATTATGTTCACCTCCAATATTCATTGGTTTTTGCACAACTTGACGATCCTCACTCCTAGTTAGCAACACATTGTCCAAACTTTAAAGATCAATTTCCAACTTAATTAGTATTTTAAAAAACCTTCTTGCAAAAGGCACACCTTCTTGTTCATTTTCTGGAAATCCTTCTAAACGAAATTGAGGAACACAGTTTTGATTGATTGTAGTAAATTCACCACTGAAAGAAGCCATAAGCAAGAGGATATTTAAATTTAAAGTTGTAGTAAAAAGCCAAATACGTATCAAAATCAAAACATACTATTTATATACTATCAATAAAAATAAATAAGTTAATGTCTGTTAGAAAAGCAAAAAACCTAAAAGGCATCTTTGCCTTTTACAGAGTTTTCTTATCTATAAGTAAAATTCATCATTAATTTTATACCAAAAAACGCTATAAACTCGCGAACGCTTTTTTCAATATAAAGATAGATACATTCATACTAAAATTTTTTGCATGAAAAATCGGTGGTTCGTCAGACTTATCAAAAAAATTTTGGTTAAAATTGCAATAACAATTCAATTAATATGCGTAATTCATAGATAATCGTTAATTATTTCATAATTCAACTTTTTTATGGCTAAATACTTCGAAAAAAACTGGATCAATTAATAGTTACTACGATTGATAAAGAAAAAAAATCCGAGAATGAACAAGGTTAATTGTTAATGTTCCAGCTAACGAAGTAAATATCCAGGAAAAAGAATATATAAAGATTACTAAATATAGGAATAGCTTTGTTAAACATATAAACAAATATCCTCCAAACAGAAAAAACTTTATCAATTATTTAATGTTTTAACAACAACAATAATAGCAATAGGCAAACTTCTCTGAAAAATTCTTCAAAGAAAATCCTCATTTAAGAACGTGGACGTTCCTTCTTTCCTCGGAAGAGCGCAAGCAAAGAAGTATTTGCTACCTTTACAACCTTAAAACGAACTCCAGGAATGTCACCAACTGCGTGTCCACTTCGACCGAAACCAGAGACAAGAACTTCATCGTTTTCCTAAGAAAATTTTGTTTAAGAAATTAAAACTTTAAACCTCAATAAAGTTAAGACATCCGTCGTTAGGAACGAAAGCTGTTATCTTCTTACTGTTCTTAATTAATTGAACACGCACACATTTGCGAATGGCAGAGTTAGGTTGTTTTGCCTCAACACCACTAAAAGAAATTTTATATTTGAGCTTTAAGAGGTGAAAAATATCGAAAAATTTTACCACTCACATTTTTTCAAGAACAATACCCTTTGCCATACAAGCACCTCCAAAAGGATCTGCCTTCCAACGTGTACCCAAATTAGTCTTCTTGTAGCGCTTGTCGTTCCAACGTTGCTCCTGACGATGCTTTTTTAGCTTTCTAGCCGTTCGAATACCTTTAGGCTTTCCCATTTTTCGTTACTTAATCTATAAATAAAAATTAATTTAAATAAAGCAAGTAAATATCAAACAAAAACAAAAGAGGAAATTTGTTGACCCTATCATTTAAAAAGAAAATGTAAAAGACAATAAGAAATATTTTATTAATTATGACAATTTGGCATTAATGTTAGTTTTACAGAATGTAATATTTACTACATTTAAATGTCCTTTTGTCAAATTTTAATAAAATCAAAATATCAAATAAGCATAAATCTTACAATTAGTTAATTAAGGGTTTTGCTGTTTTCGAAATATTTTTTTCCTTTAAAATTTTTTTAAAAATTTTTTTTGAAGATAATGACTGATGATAATATTTACAATCGAACCGATGAGGATGCTGTTGTTCTTTTTGATGAAAGTGATATGATTGAAATTAGTCCACAAACAGTAACTGATGAAAATCCTTCTGGTAATTTTTATTTTATTTTTAGGACATAATTTTTTTTAATTTTACAGAAAGATATATTAATGTAGAACTTGATGATAGTGAAGAGGCTCTAAGACAACGGTTAATCGAAAAGAGATATTGCAAAGAAAAACCGGAAGATCCGAATTTATTTAATAAAAATGAAATGCAAAATCTTGTTTGTGAGGTACCAGTTCATTCAAAATCATCAACAAATAAGAGGCAACGTATTGTTTGGGAAAAGAATGATGAAGATAATACTACTAAAAAGATGTTAATAAAAACTTTAAATTCTAATAGTAGCAGTTCAAGATCTGTACAAGTTATTCAAGAGGAGAAAAGTGCCCGAACACTTCAAATCCAAACTAATCAAAAAATTGAGGTTTCTATTTATTTTATTCTTATTAATTTACTTCGGTATTTAAATGTTGTTTTCTGTCTCATATTGTACTTTAGGATTATCAAAAACCTTTATCCTTTAATAGGTTGGTGGAAATTTTGTGGATATCTACAAGTTTATGGAAATTTCTTTTTGCTTTACACTATTCTCTTATTTAACAATAAGATTTATTTAATAAATGTAGCTTTTTATTTTAAAATTATAGAAACGAGAAAAGTCATCGTCATCAACTACACGCACTTCTGATACCTCTGATTTAAGAAAAACAGCAATTACTTCCAATCATAAACAAAAAGAAAGACAAACAGCCGACAAAATAGAAATTTCATCAAAGTCAAGTAAAAACGGAAATATCGATCCTTTACATAAACACAAGGAGAGACCATCTTCTTCCTCTAATGATCATTTACGTCATCACGACCGGCAACAACGTGAGAAAAAGCAAATTTCGGGTTTAAATAGAGTTGCTTCTGATAAATTTTTGTCTAAACGCGACGAACAAAATTTGAAGACGGCAAAGAAACCAAAAAATTCGGAACAAAAAAAGACACCAAAACTTGAGCAAAGTGAAGAAATCTGTTCTGTTGAAAAAATTCATATAGATAGTGTTAAAAGTTCGGAAACAATTGAAATTACTGACGTTATGAATGAACATGAAGATTTTTCTAAAATTAAAGTTAGAAGTGCTCCCTCTTCTCCTGGAAAATCAAAAAAATATTCAAAATTTGAAAGTAGTTCGGAAAGTGGTGAAGATTATGAAATAGAAGAGGATGGAAATAAAGAAGGGGAACCTAAAGGTTTGTTTTATATAATAAATTTATGGAAAATAGTTAATAACAAAAATATGTTTCCGTTTTTTCAAATTATAACTTTTAGCAGATATTTGAAAATTTTTTTAAAATTTTTTTAAATATTTTTTAATTTTAGATCGTTCCATTCCCAATAATGAAAATAAAATGGATGATTATGAATTTAATGAAAATGATTTTATGAATAATGTAGATGAACCTGTTGATATTCTTGATGATTTGGAAAACAGAAATTTTGAGGAACTTACAGAGGATGAAAAAGCTGTGGTTTGTTTTTGATCTTTATTTTTGATCTCTATTTTTTTAACTTTATTTTTTCTATTGTTTTAATGGGTTTATTGTTAGTCTAAAAAATTTTGAAAATTTATTTTAAGGGTTTTCTTTTATTAAGTTGTCACCAGAAAGATTAAAGCAATTAGAGGAAGCATATCAACGTCGTTTAAGAGCACAACTCCCCGTTTACTATCCAGGAATTTTTGGCTGTAGAAGTGTTGTTGAATATGAGTGTTTAAATAAAATATCTGAAGGAACTTATGGTGTTGTTTATCGTGCGCAGGAGAAGAAAACAGGTTCTGAATCTTTATATCTTAAAATTGAATTAATTTTTCCTAAATATTAGTGGATGTCGTATAAGATCCACCTTTTTGTGAATATTATTTTCAAGATAAAAATTTCCCATCTATTGGGATATAATACGTTATTATTTTTTAATTTAAGATGAAATTGTTGCACTTAAAAGATTAAAAATGGAAAAAGAACACCAAGGATTTCCAATCACTTCACTTCGAGAAATCAACATGTTACTAAAATGTGGAACACATCCAAACGTTTTAAATGTAAGGGAAGTTGTTGTTACCTCTAATGCTGAAAAAATATTTCTTGTAATGGAATATGTTGAACATGATTTGAAATCTTTAATTGAATTGATGAAATCCAGGCAAAAGAAATGGACAATACGTTTGTTTTTTATTGTAAGATTGTTTTTAAAATTATTTTTTGTAGCCCAAGTAAAAACTCTTCTACAGCAACTTCTTTCAGGAATTGAACACATGCATGACCGTAAGTTAATTTTTAAATTTATAAAACTGGATTATAATAACAGCTTGGGTCCAAAATACAAACAATCTTCCTAAATAAAATTTTTTTCTTTAGATTTCATATTAGCTAAGTTAGTTTTTTTTGTCAAACTTTATTTACAAAAAATATTTTTAAAATAAAATTTAATTTCTAGAGTATGTCATTCACCGTGATTTAAAAACTTCTAATCTTTTACTTTCGCATCGTGGTATTTTGAAGGTAATTTAAAAGTTATTTTTTATTCAAATAAAATATTTCAGATTTGTGATTTCGGTTTAGCCCGTGAATTTGGCGATCCACTTAAGCCGTATACACCAATTGTTGTTACACTTTGGTATAGGTAAATATTTCTTTTAAATTTAAAATTTTATTTTTAAAAATTAAAGGTCACCAGAACTTCTCCTTGGATGCAAAGTAAATTATTGCTTTCTATTTAAGATTTAAAAAAACTTTTTTAAGCTCTATTCAACACCTGTAGATATGTGGTCTATTGGTTGTATTTTTGGTGAACTTTTAAAAATGGCAACATTATTTGCTGGCAGAACTGAGATTGATCAAATGCAAAAAATTTTTAAAGTTTGTGTTAAAAATAAAATTTTTAATTTCAAAAAAGTTTTTTAAAGGAATTGGGAACACCAAATGAACAAATTTGGCCTGGATGTAGTTCTCTTCCGGGAATGAGGAATTTAAATTTTCCTGAAACTCCCTTCAGTCAATTACGTCGAAGCTTTTGTTCTGAATTACCTGATGATGATGGATTTAATTTATTAAATAGGTACTCTTTTTAAATTTCTCAAGTCAATATTTTTTCGAAAAGTTGAATTCTTTCAAATATTTTTTTATAATTTGGTTTCTTTCTTCAATTTACAGTTCAAAATTAATTTAAAATTTTTTACAGATTACTTGCATTGGATCCGAGTAAACGTTTTTCTGCCAATGAAGCATTAGAAAATAATTGGTTCAAAAATGATCCTAAACCTGCTCCACCATCTTCATTTCCAACAGTAAGAATTATTATCGTTAAATATTTATCTTTTTCTTTTATTTTACAAAAATTTCCCTTTCCCATAATTAAGGGAAAGATAAAAACGGATGGGAAAGCAGAAATAAAAATATCTATTCTCTTTGATTTCTGAATATTAAAAACAATTTTTAATAAGAAAATTACTACAATCTTAAAAATTTTTTAAAAATTTAAACAAAAATAAAGTCACTTTTATTTTTAAAGCATTCTAATTTTTTTTTCAATTTTTAGTGGCCGGCTAAAAGTGAGCACAACAAAAAGCCTCCAAATGAACCATCTGCCCCAAGGAAACCTATCGCTGGATTTACACTTAAATTTGATGCGCCAAAATTTTGATTTTTAGATTATATTTTAAAAAATGGCAAAATTAGCCCGTTTATTTATACAGGGTGCGGCAAATTTAGCGCCGACTTTGTTCTGGCTATAACTTTTTTAATTTTAAACGAAAATTGATAATTCTTTTTTTCCTGGATTCCCAACGCTTTAGGAAACTTGTTGATATAAAAATCTTTTCTAAATTTTATAATTAAGTTTGATTAATTTTCTATCAAATTTCGAGCAAAAATTTTTGGATAAAATTTGGCCTGGATTCAAGGCTATTGTTTTGATGTAAGACTTTTACATATCATTCGAATCAGCGCTCCAATCTGATTCGAATGACGTCAAAATCATGTGTCTATCACATACATGGACCGAGATATGACTCTCTGATTGATAAATTAAAATAAATTTTGCAAATATAAACTTTTTATGTAAAATTTTCAAAAATGATTTTATTAGCTATTTCGATGCTCCTTATCGAGAGGAGTTGATTGGCACCAGAATAACTCGGATTGGATTATTTTGAACAAAGTTATGATCAATTAAACTTTGGCATGAAAAATATTTTTAGATTTTTCGGCTGTTCGGACTCGTTTTTCTTTCCTCTCAGTGGACCAAATTTTCAATATTTGATATCAACAAGTTTCCTAAAGTGTTGGGAATCCAGAAAAAAAAGAATTATCAATTTTCGTTTAAAATTAAAAAAGTTATAGCCAAAACAAAGTCGGCGCTAAATTTGCCGCACCCTGTACATTTTTAAAAATAAATTAAATACTTTTTATTGAAAAATTACAAAATTAATTTTTCCTTTTATCGGATTTTTTAAAAATATTCCTTGACTTTTATTTATTGAGACATAAAGTCGGGTCATGAAAACTTACGTTTTTATTGTTATATGTGTATTAATTTTTTAGCGCCCATATTTTCTTAATATTCGCTATGATCTCATTACATTACTCTTTCAGATTTTAATTTTTTCCAATCCTGAAAAAATTTCTTGCGATGACAAAAATTCAAAAAAATCGAACACGTAAGGTTCAGTTTTGTTTTATTGTTATCTATTGAAAAGAAAAAATAGAAGAGGAAGAAATCTAACAAATTTCTAGAGTAACTCTCTGTTTAAGCATTTATTTTATTGTGAATCGAATATACTTAAGTACATTATTTATAATCTTTCTTTTTTCTTTGAATATTTTATATAGGTTAAACGACCAGAAAGATGAAAAAGTCCTCCTTCCGTCCCTTCACCCTCCATCCCTTTTTTATACAACTTTACTCATTTTCTTAGATTCTCAGCAACATTGTTAACAGAAAAACTTTATTGGAATATTTTTAATTTTCAGATAAATTATTATGCACAGATTTAATTCTAAACTTAATGAAGAACGTGAAAAACAATATTGGGATTCAATCTTCTACCCTAATCGATTTTTAGAACCTTCAGGACTTTTATCTGCTCATTCAGCATATTTACTAAGAACGGGTAGGCATTTTAAATTTTATAAAAATTCTTTTTCCTTTAAAAATCATTTTTTCATCCTCCTCGTCACTGTCTGTCAATTTAAAAAAATATTTGAAAATGGAACGAGTTTTTAGGGATTTACCTCTTTTCATGAGGTAAATCATACACATTACCTCTATTTTTACATTCAGACTTTTAATGACAACTAATCGGCTTTTATTTTTCTGTAAAAAATTTGATTGACTTGTACATAGTTGTAGAAAGACATTTTGTTGATGAATTTTTTATTTTTTTCTTGTCTGAATTCTATCTTAATCGTTCCTTTCTTGCAGACTATTCTGGTAAAAGCTTTTCCGTTTTTGGTGATTTGTGAGGAAATTTTGTGTTTGTTTGTTTGCTTTTTTTGGCCGATTTTTTTAATTCTCAATTATTTTTCTCACTTTATCTCTTTATTCCTCAATATCCCTCCACCCCTACATACATAACTAGTCCTTTACTTTTTTTACCCCTTAATGACATTTTTATGTTCAACGTCAGCTTTCACATTTTATGCAAACAAAAGGCGTCCTTTGTTATTAAATAAAATATTTTTTTTCATGCGGACTTTCAATTAAGTAAACGCCTATTTAAGTAGTTGGCAGCTGCTAAATCGGTATTTCTTTTATATAAAATGTTAATTTTTGCTTTTTAATCTAGAAACAAATGCTATTTTGATTTTGACATTTTCTTTAAAATTAATGTTTTTTTCCTTTTGTTATTGAAAATGTTTCTCCTTTTGTTCCAATCAAAATAAAGTAGCAAAATATTAAAAATCAAAGTGAAAACTACGGATAAATAAAAATATTTTTTCTTATTTCGATGACTTTTAGCTTTAAAAAATATCTATTAAAATTAATTGAAAATTTATTAAAATTTATTGACCGTTAAAAATACAAAGTAAATAATAGTGATGTTCGGGTATCCCGACTCCCGACACCCGACTCGGGAAATTTCCCGAGTTTTTGGCCTCCCGATCCCGACCCCGACTCCCGATGGCAATTCCCGACTAAGTCGGGAAATTTTTACACCCCTAAGAATGGCTTTTTCTGATAAAATTTTATTTTTGAAGGGAAAAAATAAAGAGAAAAAATAAAAAAAGGGAAAATAAAATATTTAATTTTTTTCCCTGACAACTATTGTTGAGAGGTGGTCGAGTGGTTAAGTTGAGTGCCTAAGTTAATTTGATTGGTCTAGGTTCGAATCCGGGTTTGGAGTATTTTATTTAAATAATTTTTCCATCCAAAAATAAATGGTTTTTAACATTTATTTTGATATTAAAATTTTACAATTATTTTTTTCTATATTATAAACGTCAAAAAACTGTAGAAAAATTAATTTAGTCATGAATTTTCAAAAATTTTCGCCTGCGGCGCAGAAAATCGAAGAAATCATTACAAATTTTTCTAAATTTTGCTTGCAGCGCAGAAAATAAAGAATATCAGAGCTCTTAGCCTTGCAAAATTCTCAAAATTTTCGCCTGCGGCGCTGAAAAATGAAGAAATATGCCTTCTTGGCCATCCAAAATTCTCAAAATTTTTGCCTGCGGCGCTGAGGGATTAAAAATTTGTCTTCTTGGTCTTCCAAATTTAAAAAATTTTCGCCTGCGGCGCAGAAAAAGGATGAATCTAGCTCCTTGTCTTTCCAATTCTCAAAATTTTCGCCCCCGGCGTTGAAAATGGAAGAAATTTTACAGCTTGGCCTTCAAAAATTCTCAAAAATTTCGCCTGCGGCGCTAATAAGGAAGATGTCTGGCCTCTTGACCTTCCAAAATTCTCATAATTTTCCCTTGCAATGCAAAAAACCGGAATTTTTGGCGCCGAAGGCGCCAAAAATTTTTTTATTGTAAATTCCCGACTCCCGATCCCGACTCCCGAGGTCATTTCCCGACCCGACTCCCGTTTCCCGATTCCCGAGTTTTTTCTTCTCCCGAACATCACTAGTAAATAATTTGGCATTAAATATTCCATACTTTTGTATTTAACTTTAAATACCGTAAATGCTTAAATAATGTCCCTCTTTCAAATAATAACTCCCTTCCTTTTAATTACCCCCTTCAGCGAGAGATTGAAACAATGGGTAATTATATTAGCAAATACGTTAAAGTATGTACATATGTATTCGATTATTGTTGAAATAAACATCAAATATATTTGAGCTTGTACTTTAAGGACTTACTGTTAGAATGCCAAATAAATGGAAAAATTGCCAATCTTTATATTGATCGGAGTTTAGTTTTTTTCCTCGCAATCTTCTGAATTTACTTACCCAATATTCTATCCATATTACAGTTAGAGTTGGAAGAACCTTGAAAATTTGAATGAAGAAATCTAATGAATGCATCTAAAATAAATTGAGGATTTATAATAATTGTAGCTATCTAAAACAAAAATTAGTTTTAAATGTTTCCACGCTTTGTTCTTCTAATCTTTCAATACAAAATTTAAAATAAAAGTTAAAAAATAATTTTAAATAGTTTAGTAATTACTAGACTTCTTATATTTAAATCTTTTACCACAATTTAAATTATGTCAAAAATATTTTTAAATTCTGTTAGATAATCCAAAATATTCTTTTGAAAATAAAATTAACCTTAAAATAATTTTAAATAAAAAATTGGCAATTTTTGGAAATAATTTTGTTTATTTTTCATAAAAGTTTTCTTTTCTTCCCGAGAATTTTAGATTCATTATAGGGAGTTTATTTAAAGAAAATAATTTGTAGATGGAATTTTGTAAGTTAAATTTGTAAGTTAACTGTAAAGTAACCCCCCCCCTTCTCATTTTTTCAGATTATTTTTAAGAAAAAAATTAAATTTGATGATAATAATTTTTTCAATAATTTTTATTAAAAATAAATTATTAGATTAAAAAAAAAGATAAAAATTAAAAAAAGTTTATTTAAGAGAATCTTCTTTCATTAAATTCTTTTTTTATTTAAATGTTAATTATTTCCTAACAGATTTAATAAAATTTAAATCAGAATTAATTAATTTCAGTTAGGAATAATTTTTAAAAATAAAATACAAAATTCTGATTTTTATTTAATCAAAATTCAATTTCTCTCTCATCTTCCCTCCCTCTTCTACTTAATTAAAATGTCAGAATTGTAAAATAATTATCGGCTGGTAGTAAAGTAGGGATGGCTGGAAGAAGAAGAAACAAAAATAGGAAAAATTTTTTTATTGATTTTTTTGCATATTTTCCTTTTTTGATTCACTCATTTATTTTTTCTTTTTTTTCCACAAAATGCCGCCGTTACTTTTTTACTTAAAAAAATAAATATTTATACCTAGTATTTTACTATTTTAATTCTTAGCCTTTATAAATTTTTGTGTTTTCTTTTTTTTTTTGTTTTTTTGTTGGCATCTAAATAAAGTAAGTAGCTTTTAAAAATGAAACAAAGCAAAAAAAAACAAAATTGTGTAATGCTCTTGAGTAAAACACAAAAAAACTTTTTTGTAAAAAATAAAAAAAAAATATTCTTTTTTTTTATTTAAAATTACTAATTAAAATAATATTAAAAAAGGATTTATGTATGTATGTAGAAAATTAAAAAAATATTATATAGTAGCGGCAATATGTTTAGAACAGAGGTGTTCGAAACAAAAAAATCTTCGAAAATCGAAAGAAATCCAAAAATATCGAAATCGAAAATATTTTTCAAAATCTTAGAAAACGAAAATCGAAAAAAAAATTTTTAATAAAAAAATTGAAAAATAAATTTTTGTTATGTTAGGGCTCAGTTGGAATTTTTGCTTGAACTTTAAGGAATTGGGGAACTCTAAGGAAACTTTAGAAACACTAATGTTGTTCAAAAATTTTTTTAAACAAAATTGCAAATTTATATTTTATATTTAGTAATTTTAAGTTTTAATTTTCAAAAAAAAAGCCTACATATTTTTTTTACCTAATGATTTTTTTTAAATGTTGCGCATACACACAACATAATAACAAAATAAAACGTTTTGAAATTTTTATTTAATTAAATTAAAATTTAAAAATTTTTTTTATATATTTTTGTTTATTTTGATTTCAAAAATAATTTTTTTTGAATTTATTTTTAAAAAAATATTTATTTATTTATCCTTGTTTTTGCAGCAATTTCTAATCCTTTCTGAGAAAAACCCTTCTTCTGCCTGCCCCTTCTCTTTTTTAAAATTAAATATTTCTCAATAAATTAAATAATTTAAAATATACATATAAATATACCTAGTTTTTAAACATTTTATTTAAAAGATTTTTTTATTTTAAAATTTTTGTAATTTTTTTATTAATTCTTAAAATTTTATTGATCTTTTATTGTTTGTTTTTATTCATTTCTTCCAACATCTGTTGTCTCTTTACTAGTACGAGAATATTTTAATTACTTTAGAATAAATTAAAAATATATTTTTGGGTAAAATTAATTTAATAAATATGTAATGTTCTTTTTAAATTAAATATTTTAAATAAAAATCAATTAATTAATTAACACATTTATTTATTTATTTTTACACATTCTCTCTTTTATTTTTCCCCGGTTTCTAGTTAATTAAGAAGATTATCGATATATTAATTAATCATTCTCTCTTTTTTAAATAAATAAATAAATATTATATTTCTTCTATATTTAAATCAAAAAAATTAAATTTTTTTATAATTAATTAATTCCAACCATTTTTTAAAAATAAATTATGTAAATGTATCAGATTTAAATTATAAAAGAATACCGCCGCTATCTTTTAATAAAAAAAAAGAAAATTCAAAACAATTTTTTTCAGTAAAAGCATTCTTTTATTTACAATTAACTTATTTTGATCTTCTTTTCCTCCAACCTTTTGTTAAAAATGTATTTTATTTAAGTTTATTTTTCAATCAAAAAATAGATTTAGAGGTATTTAAAGTATATTCTTTTAATTGTGTATATTTAAATAATTGTGAAGACCACCAACAAAGTTTTTGTAATTTTTAAATAAAATTGACAGAAAGTAGTGGTGACCTCTCTTTTTATTTTAAAAGTTTTGAAGAAAAGAATTTAATATCTTTAATCCAAAAAATTTATTTAAAAATTTTTAAAATTTTAAAAATACAATGGTAGATAAATTTATTCAATTTTCATATAAAAAAAGATTTGAGAAAATTTTACTTTTCTGGTTATAATTTGGATGAGAGGCGTCCATTCTTGTTTTTTTTTCTCAAATAAAGATTTATCTATTTTTTTAATTAAAAATTAAATTTATAATTTAAAATTAAATTATTTGTGACTAAATACATATATTTTTATAACAATTTCTTTAATTAATTACCCTCAACACCTGTTTAATTAATTTAATTCTCATTTTTCTTAAAACAAAATTGCAACAAATAAAATAACCCTAATTTATTAATTTTTTAACCGAAAATTTGTTTTTAATTTTTTTTCAATAATTCAACCAAAAATAATATGTACATAGACGGGACTGATCCAA